GAAAGAGATAAAATATTCCTTTCCTTCTGGATGCTTTAGGTTTAAAAATTATATCGAAGCTGAAAATATCTAGATCAGTATTTCATCCGTGCTGTTTCTCGCGAAATAAAGCACTTGAATAAAAAAAAATACGCTTAAGTGGAGCTTAATGCAGTTCATGGTGCAGATAATAAGTCAAGCAGTATAGAAAATTATAAATATTTCGATTTTAGCCAGCATAAAATTGTTTAAAGCGGTTAATAATACTTGAAAGAGCTTCTCTTTTTTATTCTTTAAACATTTTCGCCTATTTTCTTGTGTATAATGTTCTATTCAATTCAATCAAGAATCGATGAAATTTCTTTTAATTTTAGAATGATACAGACAGAGAGCCCTTGCAATTATTCGCAATAGAAATGTCACATTAAGCGGCTTTTACGAGTTGTAAAAGCTGTAAATTTGTTCATACACTTTTGGAAGGGGAAAAGAGAAAGAAAAGTAGTAAATTATTTTCGCGCAAGAAAAGGAGACTAAATTTCCTTTTACAGACTTCGCGTTTAACTGTAATTTTAAAAACTAGTTGCACCAGCAAAGACGCTCAGAAGTGGTTGGCCTTCGAGCCCACATCGATCCCGGAGCTTGGAGCTCCGACAATCGAACGCCAAACGACATCTTTAGAGGATTCTTTAGTCGATCGATATTTTATTTAGATTATCTCTCTCTTTTATCTAGATAAATTATAACTATGTATATTTTTTATCTTAGATATTAATTCTTATTTTTACATACACTATTCCTAAACGAATTCTAACTATGCAGCAGCAATATTTATATTTGAATATAATATATGATATAATTAAATTTTTTATCCTTTTTATTTTATTTCTTAAAGAAAAATAATTTTTCTTGAATTCTTGCAAAGTATTAAATTTATTATATGAAAATCATAAATTAAAAATCATAAATCTATTCTCTTATTGATTACTTTTTTAATCGATTTGACATACACTGTTCCTAAACGAATTCTAACTATATAGCAGCAATATTTATATTTAAATACAATATATTATACAATTAAAGTTTTTATTTATTTTATTTTATTTCTTAAAGAAGAATAATTTTTTCTTGAATTGCAAAGTATATTAAGTTGATTATTTATTATATGAAAATCATAAATTAAAAACCATAAATTTATTCTCTTACTGATTACTTTTTCAATCGATTTGATTCTATATCGAGTAAAAAAACATCCACTATTGTATTTATTATTTCTTAGATTCACATATAGATTATAGATATTTGAAGAAAAGATAAATAAAAAGTTGATTAACTTTTTCTATTATATAGACTATTTTACATATTTTATTTTGTACATTTTTATGCTGTTTTTAATTATGCGCGTTATATATACCTACAGCAATGAATTATTATAATTACTCGCGGAAAGTAGTGTATATGTAGACTTAGGAGTTTTGCAGGTGATATGTACTTTGTTTATTACTTATTAAATTTATTAACATATTTCGCGTTTACGACCGTGATCCAGCTGAGTGTGCGCTATTTGCTCAATGTACCGAAACTAAATATTTGCTCCGCGAACGGAGGTTGCAGTAGACAAAAGTTCCGCAGTCGTTACTGGAATTGCTATTTCGCGATCGTGGTTTTGTTTGGCCATAAAACGGCCACGCCTATTTTGTGCGTTTTTGTCAAGACTCATCGCGAGATCTGTCGAGAATCGAGCGATAAAACACGACGTTAACACTTTGACTGTTCGACATTTTATACTATTGCGAATGTACTATATTTTGGATATTTTTCATTTTATATTCCATAATGATTGGGTCCAAAAGTTGAATCTAAACTCGGGATATAATTACAGTTGCATATTAAAAATGAAACAATTTTAATGTGAATTAGATTATATAGGAAGAAGATAAAAAAAGATGAAATATTATTCGTTGAATTTCAGGTATAAAGATTCTCTCTCTCTCTCTCTCTTTCTTTTTTTTTAAATTATTTCTTAATTATTTATGAATATATATTTATATTATATTTATATTTTTTTTATATTTTCTTAATTATATTTAATTCTTAGTACTTCAAAAAATGGCAGAAATTTAATTTTTTAATAAAGCGAAGTTTATAATGAAAATGCGTTTTTTTGCAGTTTAATAGAAGTGGGATAAATATAGCAGCATATTTTATGTATTTTTACAACGTATATTGCATTGTTTCTGTAGCTGATTATTTTTAGTAGTCGGACGATTCGTCAAAACCTATACGAATTCATTGTGACGCGTTTCTCAAGAGAAGAGAAGGAAAAGGACGTTCGAATAATGAATGCAAGCTGCACTATTTAACTCTTGAACGATTATCGTCGTCACAGTTATTTAAAAATTACCACCGCGTCGTTTGTCACACTAATCAGTTACGACGCTATAATTACGACGCATCGATGTATGCGGCGGAGGCGTTTTCAAATAAAGAGACACTCGGAGGTTTTGTGTTCGCATCACCAACTGCGCGTATTTATCTGCAAACTTTTTTGCTTTCCCGGTTGTGTTATCGCGAGTCGCGCAGTCTGTTTATCGCGTCTGTATTTTTACGTTCAGTCGATTATAAAACGTAGAGTCGAATGCCACGATCAAAATTATATCGAATAATTTTCAAATGATAAAATAAGCAATAGTTGGTCATTGACACTTGCATCAAGTGTGTGTTTGTGTAACGTAAATTGTATTGTTAAAATTGAAGTAGCAACGTAATGTAATGAAAGATCCAACGTGCACGAAAATGCGGAAAAAGCGCACTAGGAAGCGACGTATGTAAGTGTATTCTTGGGACGTGGGAGCGCGCTCTCGGTATGCAGCAATAAAACGATATACAGGGTGGTCTCGCAGTATCCGTCTACTTTCTCTAAACCGTAGATACTAGAAGAGAACGAAACGCTTTGATTCCTCGATCAATAAATATATAGAACAAAGATCATCGGGGTCTTTGAATAATTTGAGAAGCGCCAGTTGTAAGTGTTCCCTCAATGTATATCGCACGAATATAAAACGCGACCGAAGTATAAAAACTTTTTTATATTTTCTTTCGATTTTATTTTCTTTGTCTCGTCGGTGAATTTACGACCGACGATATTCGCTCGAATCTGGAGGAAGTGCGCGCGTGACCCCTGACACACCCTGTACAAACCGCTGTGAACGAGCGTGTCGGGCGTGTATGACCTGTCTTGTTCTCCCGCGTGGCGCGATTAAAAGTTCAATGAACGCGTGATGCGCGCGATACGGTTGTCTCCTTTCATTGATCACCGCGGCGATGATGAATCAGAGGAGTTGCGTTGACGAAGAGAGGATGGGTGGGAGAGGGACGTTCGCCGCTGGCGAGATTTCGGAAAGTCGATTTTGTTGCAAGGATACGTTGTAGTATGTAATTGGATATCATCGTGAAAGTATCGTTTGCGTATAAAAAGTGTCAATTCCGCCGACTTTATATGTTTTTTCTCAACCAGTCTCGAGTCAGAGTTTCAAAATATTCATCGTTTTCAATCAAATATTAGACACTTTTCTATTCGCGATCATTTGCAGGTACCTATAAAATTGTTCATTTATAATGTTCGAAAAATGATATAGACTCTTAATTTCGTAGAAATAAGTCTAAAAGTTAAATCCAAATTTCTACTCTCTTTTTCTTAAAAAATAATATTTGTTATTGTTATTGTCTGTTTGCGCTATTTTGAAATTTAGTTTTATGAAAAATTATTTATTTTCCACAGCTTACACGTAATTTGAAAACTATTCGTCTTTTCTTTTCTTCTTTTTGTTAGAAAAAACCTTTAAAATAAACAAAGACATTTCTAAAAAAAAAAAAAAATGAACGAAACAACAATAAATCCATTTATAAAAGGCAGTTTGTATAAAAACGTTGAGTGTTGAGTGTTATTAATCACTCTGTAAATTAATTTCTCTTCTATCTATTTTCATTCTCCAAAAATTTATTGAGCGAGTTATAAAAAAAAATATATATCTTCATATATTTAAAACTGAAGATGCAGGACTTTTCGGGATTCGTCATCGCACGCGAATCAGTATGTCGTATCATATTAGTCCAGAATATTGTTGTTGTTTCGAAGAATCTCGCGGAGACCGCGTCGAAGCGGCGGCAACATTGTCAATTTGGTTTAACGTGACCGGAATGATAGAGAAAACGCCGCCAGCCGGAGTAATTGTATACAATTACGTCATTTGTTTGCTTTCTGGCCGGATCGTGAGAACCGAGTCTAACCGAGCGTTTAAACGCGCCGGTTAAATTTGTGTGCACGCATCACAAGCGAGTTCTCATATCGTTCGTATATTATTGCGCGTCAGCTGTAATTAATCAGCGCGAGTCGACGGAGCTAAATGGAGCCGGTCATACGGATTTATTATTTCATGAATTCTACGAGTTCTAGTGTGTCGGATTATTTATAGAATTTACGCTCCTATTTATGCATTTTCGAGCATCGGACAATTAATTACGCTAATTAATTTTGCCGTATCGGAATAGCTAATCAACGTAGATAATAATTAGAGGGAGAGAGAATACAACAGGGTTTTTTATTAGAAAATGTTTTCTTTGTCGAATTCTTTCTTTGGTACGACCGAAAAGCACTTTGTCCAAAATTGTCCACTCACTGGACGTTGCTATGCTGATGTATGTGGTTATCGCGAATATCTAGCACGAGGTAGTCGATGCGAAATTGACGTAAACGCGCTTTGCTACATTAAGGGAAGGATATTCAACTCGAAATTATTTTTATAGGGGAAGCGTATTTCTGTTATAAATTTACGAAAAAAAAATTTGACACGGTAACTTTTCCATGACGTTTGAAAAATCGTAGAATAATTCCTAGAAGAGGACGGCGGTATTTTTACGCATCGCACGAGAGTGTAATAAAAAATAAATAGTTATCACCGTCATCACACAATTATTCATCGTTAAACGCTTCGACGCAAAACACTCACTTAGTATTTCGTCGTTAATCGTCCCTGACAATTACGAATGCATCGACGACGAAGCGTCGCGTCGTCCTCTTTCTCGGATCGCGTTTCAGTCGCTCTCGCGATACGGATCGGATTTATAAATGATATACATCAATCTCTTATGAATCTCAGCGATATGGCGAGTGTATTTTTACGCGATCTTCTTCGATATATTCGAAACGGTGAGTTATCAATGGAAAAAAACGTTGAAGAGAAACGTTGCGATATGGAAACCTTTCGCTCTAATCTTAATCGCACCTTTCTATGATGGTGAGAACCGCTCTCT